AGTACAATAACACAGAGTTATAAAGATACTTGAAAAACAGATAATTTTTTTAATTCTATATATAACCCCTTTGTAAACCCTGTGCAACGAAGTCTATTTACCAACATATGTAAAGATATTACATGTAAAAAATACACAGAAACATTGGAAATCAGTTTTTGGCAGGCAATCACTTTTTGGCACAACACCGGCCTGCTGGGCGAAGAGAGCCACAGGCGGCAGCGGGCTCTTGTGTAGCCACCGACCGGCAGACAGACAGCCGAAGCGGACATCTAACTGGGGGCACCCTGCAAACTGCTTTCCCTTACTGCCTCCTCTATCTTAATCTCTAACGCCATGCTCTGCTAACGTAAATTTCCCCTGCGTCTCCTTGGATGCTTAATGCCAAAAGTTTACTGTTAAAGAGAGAGAGGGTGGTGGCGACTTCTATTTTATATAGTATATCTATTAAAAAAAATAGCTCATAGCTGCTGCTTCATTATTGTCTGTTAGCCTGCAGACTGAGCTCCGATCAGGGTCCTTACACGTCTTACTCCTGTGTAAGCGTCACATACCTGTTATCTGTGGCTTTATCCCGAGTCTTCGGCTGATAGCTGGCAGTCTGATCTCCTCTTCATACTGTACGATCGTGTTTTTAGCCTCTGAGCAGATTTCTTCAGCAGTTAATCTCTCGGACACTGAATTAAAGGCAGCGCTGCTCGGACAACTGAAATATTTCTCTCATACCACCAAAACAGGCTCTTCAAGCTAACCGTCTACCGCACATAAAACATCATCCACCAGAGTCCTTGAACTGCACAAAGCTTTTGTCCCACCTCCGCAGCTGCATCCTTTCAGGCCGTGAAGGCCGCACTCAGCGTTTTTATATCTCTTACGTCGCGCTGGTCTTGTTGCCTAGCAGCGATGGCAGAAAATTGACACCCATTACTGAAAAAACACAAAGACCGTGCTGATGCTTTGAACTTGCTGTTTGTTCTGTTTTTAACACTCTGTGCTGAAGCTGAAGGAATGTGATGCAGCTTCAAACTAAATTACTTTGATGGGACACAGTGTGCTGTGACAAAGAGTTTTATCATCCTAAAAATATGTGGACAAGCTCAGCGGAGGTGCTTTAACCTCCTCTACATCCCTGTTAGCATGATGACGGCGCCCTCGTGTGTTGTGCATCATCAGATTTCAGTTAACTTAGCAGAAAAAGATGCAAAAAACTTCACTGAGCCTTCAGCAGCTTATACATCATCAGTAAAGAGAGATTTAAATATCTGTGTGTGACACAGTGAGTCAGTTTGCTCACAGGAGCCACAACATGTAACACTGCTTTTTCTCTCTCTGTGTGTTCTTAGCATAGTTTCACAAACTAGTTTCATTTTTTTCCTCTAGCTTTAAATAATAAAAACTCACAATAAAAAAATATTAGGTGACTTATTTGTAAGTAAGTAATTTCCCCATGCACCTTTGCACTAGAACTATAATTTCCCCTACCTGCCAAATCCTCATGGTGGCTACATCCATCTTTTATATTGTTATGTTGCTAAAACTGAGCGCATAAATATATAATGAAGTCTGTGATAATTTGCTCACAGACATTCACACCAGTGGCCTGATTTAGGTTATTTTGTATCATCCTGTTCCTCCTTGCACAAAGGAGCAGATATCAGTACTGCTGATGAAATAAGGACCTTCTATGCCATACTCAGCTCTCCTACAGTGCCTGTCTCCCAGAACCTCCTCCATGCTCTTGAGAATGTGTTTGGCAAACACAGCAAAGCTTCTGGTAATGGCACGTATTGATGTGCCATCCAGGAGGACTCAGGCTACCTGTGGAAACTCTTTATGGTCCAAGTATCCGCTCATGCTACCAGTAGTGACACTGGCAAATGCAAAACTCGAGAAAAGATGAGGAGGGGAAAAATGTCAGTGGCTCCTTTTGTAAAACTATTCCTGTTTCAGGGGTTGTGTCATTGTTGCCCTTCTAGATGTTGTTAATTTCATTAACACCAAAGCAGCTGAAACTAATTAGCAACCTCTTCTGCTACTTAACTAACCAGATAAATATCCCAGAGGTTTAACTGATTTGATGCTATACTTTGATTAAAAAGTGTTCCTTTAATATCTGAGCAGTGTATTTTTATGCAGTATGAACGGTCAATCTGCAGCTACTCTACACAAATATCGTCAATGAAGCAGCAACACTCTGCAGCCAGAGCAGGAACGGTAATACACCCAGAAGCATGTTTCCTCAAATAATCAAAACCTCAGTTTCAAAATACATATAAAATAATGACAGACACAACCAAAGCTTCATATTTTAGAAATGACACTTCAGAAAAAAAATTGTCACATGTTTTAAAGAAATCTTTATTTAAATTTTAAGAATAAAGAACCCACAACAATAAGGAACAGAACTAAATAAATCAGGATAAATAAATCAACAGAAGAGGTCCATATGGAAGCTTATTTTTTATGAAAAGTATTACAACATAAGGTGACCTCAAATCCATAAAGGCACATTGTTTTTGGTCTTATGCGTGTCACTGTCAAGCTTTTAATTTTCTTTAAAGAGATTAAAGACTCTTTATTGGACAATAAAATAATAAAATCTTGGCTATAAAAAGCAAAGTACCCACAGAAAAATATTTTTTCTGTAACAACGCTGTCAAGTGAAAAAACTGAAGAACCTGGATCTACAATTAATATTTATCACCTCACCAGCACTAACACAATATATAAATTTATAATATACATATGTACACAAACTGACCAAGCATAAAACTATGACCATCTGCCTAATATTGTGTTGGCCACCCTTTTGCTGCCAAAACAGCCCTGACTGTTCAAGGGATGGACTCCAGACCCCTGAAGGTGTACTGTGGTATGGACTTGTTTGTCCGACACATCCCACAGATGCTCGACTGGACTTATATCTGGGGAATTCAGAGTGCAAGTCAACACCTCAAAATTCTTGTTGTGCTCCCTGCAAGCATTTTTGCTTTTGGTGGGGCACATTACCCCACACAGAGAGGCCACAAGCTTCTTAAGGTTTCTTCACAAAAGGTAAAGAGGTCCAGTTACTTTCTTTCCAAAGTCCTTAAACTAACATGCCTGGATGATTGAGAAACTACACACATCAGAGAATACCATTTCCATGAATGGGTGTTCATGGTCTACAACAATACTTAGGTAGTTGATACGATCTTCACATACCCATTGTCCACATGGCCAGGGATCAGCATGGACACCCCGACTGGTATGCAGTAATTCAACGTTATTTGTATAACACAAAAACCCCAACAATCAGTCAACTCCCTATAAGTAAGCACTCTGTGACAGTGGGAAGAAAAAAAACTCCCTTTTAACAGGAAGACATCTGCTGCAGAACCAGGTTCAGGGAGGAGGAACAATTGACTACGACCAGTTGGGGTGAGGGTAAGAGCGCCCAAACTGCAATGCACTGTATATTCTAACACCTTTCTATTAGAACCAGCATTAACTCTGTTTTGGGGGTTGTTTGTTGGACCGGACCACATGGGCCAGCCTTTGATCCCACTTGGATCAGTGAGCCTTGGCTGTCTATGAGACCATCACTGGTTCACCACTTTTCATTCTTTGGCCCACATTGGATACATGCTGACCACTGCAGACTGGGAACATCCCATAAGAGCTGCATTTTTGAAGATGTTCTGACCCAGTTGTCTGACCCAAAGTTAAATAAACTCACTCAACCATTTTTCCTGTTTAACTCATCAACTCTGAGGGAAGAATGTTTACTTGCTTCCTAATATATCCTACCCCCTAACAAGAGCCATGATGTAGAGATAATGTTGTTCACTGGTCATAATACTATGCCTGATAGGTGTACATATATATCTGCTCAGACAAATGTAAAAATCAGGGTTTCCCCTACATCATAAGAATAAGGCAAACAAACAATACAAAAAGTGTTTTTACTGTCCAGGAGATAAAATGTAGCTCATTGACCTGAATGTGAGTTCATCTCTTCCTTCTGGTTTTGGAGTTATTTGGTTTCTCACTAGTGTGAGTTTTACCATTAACACACTGCTTTGTCTGACAGCTCTGATAGACTTTAAGGATGAAACTTTTAAGCTGTGTGAGTTTTTATGTTTGTCTGACTGCATCTTTTCTCACAGGTGTCAAAAGAACGTGGCTTGTCCCCTGTGTGGGTTTTGATATGTTTTCTTAATGTTGACTGATCTCTAAATTCTTTTCCACAGGTGCTACATGAATATGGCTTTTCACCTGTGTGGATTCTGATGTGAGTTTTCAAGTGTTTTCTCTGAGTAAATCCTTTCCCACAGGTCCCACAAAAATAGGGCTTCTCGCCTGTGTGAATTCTCATGTGAGTTTTCAAGTTTATCATGTGACGGAAACTTTTCCCACAAGCGATGCAAGAATATGGTTTCTCACCAGTGTGAATTCTAACATGAACTCTGAATGCTGATGAGTCACTGAAACGTTTCCCACAGGTTTTACATGAATAGGGCTTCTCACCTGTGTGGATTCTCATGTGAGTTTTCAAGTGTATCGTCTGACTGAAACCTTTCCCACAGGTGCTACAAGAATAAGGTTTCTCACCTGTGTGAATCCTTTCATGAAGATCTAAAGTTGATTTCTTTCTGAATCTTCTCCCACAAGAGCTGCAAGAATATGGCTTTTCACCTGTGTGAATTGCCATATGGCTTTTCACATGTATGAGCTGACTGAATCTTTTCCCACAAGTGCTGCAAGAGTAAGGTTTCTCACCTGTGTGAACTCTTAGATGCTTAGTCAGCCTGTATTTATACTGAAAAGTTTTTCCACAGGTGTCACATTTTAATGACTTTTCACTTGTGTCAGTGTTGCACTGACTCTCCGTCACTGGACAGTTATCTGTTTTGTTACTGTGATGTCTTCTCTTCTTCGGCTCTGCATATCTAGTTGATCCTGTCTGCACATGCTCACTTTCTTTCTGATCTTGGCTCTCTGGTTCAGGAGAGCTGTAAGAAAGGAGATGGTCACAGTTTGGTTCTGATTCACTGTGGTCACTTTCCTTATAAATAGGAGTCACTATAATGATATCAGCCTCCTGCTTCAGAACAAGCTGCTCTCCCTCCTGACTGGTGCAGAGTTCCTCCGGTTCCTCTTTAATTTGTGGAGGATCTGGGTCGACCTGGTTCAGACTGGAGTTTCTATCTTGGTTATCAACCTGCTGGTTATTCATAGCCTCCTCCTCCATACACATATATTGTTGCGGGAGATCTGATGTGACACATGGACAAAAATGATATGAAAAAAAAACATAACTGGGTATTTCAGGTTGTAAATCTAGTATTCAAAATTATCACACGTTCATACTAGAATATTATAGAACAGCACTGAAGGACACTTTATTTTAATTCTCATATAATGTCTCACCTATTTAGAAGTAATGTATTCATCTCAGATATGGGCTGTTTCAAGCACATCTATATGTTGTATTTAGGTATCTGCACTAGTAGACTGTTTTCTTCTTCTTTCATGTAGTAGAAGAAAGATAGCACCTAGGTTCCTCAGATGGGACACAGGGCACTTCAAAGGGGAATGCTTTGACAAGGGGGGATATGTAATAGATTTTCAGGTCAAAGTGACCACGCTAAAAATAATAAACAGAAAACTGGACAGTTTTCAATCTTTTGAAGCTTAATGTCTGCCATGGGTGAAGTCATGAGTTGAAATTAATAAGTGGGTGAATAATAGACCACCCTCTAGAAATTGAGAGCCCAAAAGCTTGGGGCAGCTTGTCCATCTTTGATTATGCTTGAGTCTGAGTACTTCCTGCAGAACATCATGGGAGAGAGTTTTACTTTTTGCCTTTGGTTTTTA